TGCCCAAGTCAAATCATAGTCAGCTACAGCAATCACTCTGGATTACCGGTGCTAAGACTCAAGAGTAAACCATTTACGGCTTCTCACTTCACACTCAGTGCCTCACTATTGATTTCTTCAGCTTACCAAGTATTATCATCTGTACTTTAAAAAACCCAAAAAAACAAACGAACTCATTTCAGCAAAATCCCTTGCCTTTGTCTGAGCAGCACCTCGGGTAATTTCCCAAGAACTCATTGGACTGACATGCTGCTCAGTTCCACATGAAAACTTTAGAATAATTTTTTTTTTTTTTTTTGCATTCTTGCTTGCACTTTTGGTGGGTGGAGTGCACAAGAATCCCAGAATCCTTACTTTATCCCCCACCCCAATGAATCAGGAAATCAGATCATTTTTGCCCCTCACGTAATCTGCACTCCTTCACATTCAGTTCAAAATTACATGTAACCTCATGGGTCTCCATACCTCAGTGCTTTGAGCTGCCAAAACCTTTCAGAATATACTTTCTGCATTCACATTTTGTAGTATGTGCTAGAGCAAGGACTCCCACTCATAATCTAACCAAGGGAGCAGCCAAAGTACCAGAAGCAACCTGAATCAACCTGTTACCTCTGGGGAGGTGGATTTTCACTGACACTATATAAAACTCTGACCAAGCTATCTGCAAGAAAAAAAAAAAAAAATCTGACAGTTCTTTAGTGATGATTCTTAAAGGGCAAGTCACTGGGTGGTTATTTTCAGGTAATGAAATCTCAGCTCTTATCTTAAAGAACTAATTATTAAATCCTGCTCCTCCCATGTTTCATCAATACTTGATTTTTAACAGCTTGGGAATTAAAATTTTTTTTGGGTTAGGGATGTAGCATAGTGGTAAAACACCAATTCCCATCAGACACAAAATTCTTTGTCCAATACTTCATAGTTAAATCTGTGACCCACGTACACAGAACTAAGTAATTAAGAAGCCAATTATTTAACTTGTTTTTAAAACTTTTCAAAATAAGGTTATGGTTATTTAATCTGGTATACAAAGTGCAAGAATTTCACTTAAAAGTTCTATTATCAGGACTATTAAAGAGTTCAAAAAAAAATCTAGTCTCAGTACATGTTAAGCTCCATTAGAATGTACGTGATAGGCTATGGCTACACATACTAATGAGCAAATTGTCCATTTGTAGCTATATGTGAATTATCCCTCAGTTCATTTATAAAACAAGCTCAACATTTTTATGCACATAATTAACAAATTATGCACATAAAAAACTTCAAATGACAAAATTAAAGCACTTCCAGCAGTCTATGTAACACATGGAGCAAAATCCTAAGTCCACAAATATTTCATTTGATCAACAACCACAGAAATATACATTTATCGTTAAACTTCCATCTGAAAAAAAAAATCTCTTCATAAAATTAAGTCTTCTGAATATTTTTAAACTTTTAATTACTGATTTTCAATCACTGGTATGAGAATCTTCAAAATCATTTCCTTGTCAATCAAAAAGCACATTATTGGCCTATTACTTAAAAACTGCTTACCATATGTTAAAGTTTTTTTAATAAAGAACTAAAGGCAAAAGTAAAATGCTTATCTTCTGCCTCCCATATCTTCCACAACTTGCTTTTGATTAGAATTTAATATGAAGAGGTTTCTCCAACAGCAAAGACATATTTTCTAAACCATTTAACAGCCAAATTTTTAAGTGTTAAGACTTTAGAGGGTTCATTACAAAATGATTAAGCAATCAGCATTTTAATACTAGATCTGAGGCAGAATAAATGCTTTTGAAAAGCAATCCAAGAACGCTCTCTATTCTAGGCCTGTGAAGTAGTCCTACTGCTTTAAAACAATTGGCATAAAAAGTAGAAAGTTAAAATCAGCAAATGGAAGATCAAAGTTTATTTACTACCTGCATACAAAAACATATTGCACATCAAACAACCAAAATCAAAAAAGGGGGAAAAAAGGAAAAAAAGGAGGTGGGAAGAAAATGTGAAAGATACTCTAATGAAGACTAAACATGTAGTTTATACAGAATAAACCCTCTGGAAATTGATCTTTTCAGTAGTTCAGGCTATGTCTGAATGGACATGACTAATCAGCTTAGTGTTTCAACTAAAGCTATGTTTGATTTCTTTAAATACTGTACACTTTAATAAATAAACCAAACAAAGCCTCAATGTAGAACAGTCACTGCCAATATCACCCAGTGTCCCTGCAGATGAGTTAACATATGTATTCCAGTGGTCTGCAGACTTGCCTCTACAAACAGCATTTAAAAAACACGTAACAGACCAGTTTCCAGACTAAACTAATGAAGAAAATTACAATTCAGTGCAAAATATTTTTAAACTGCTTCATTCTAGTTTTCCTCAGGTGAAGAAGTGGTTGCATATTATTAAAAATGTAACAAAAGCAGCTAATGCTTTCATAAAGAATATTACGTTTGGGACCCCACCCCACCCACCTCCCCCCCCATCTCTGCCATATTTTGAAAACAAAATAACATTTCCTATAGCCAGCAACTTTTTTTTAATGTTACATATACTATTCTCAAGGCACATCTGATGATATATTTTTAACACAGTAGGTGTCAAAGTATGTTTAACATATGATTTCTTCAGGATCCCTCCCCTTTCTGAATTCCAAATGGAGGAACTGAAAGTGCGGTGTAAGACTGGCGATCCGTATTCTATCTTTGGCAAGCTTGTACAAGCACTATTGTAACTGTAATGTAAAAGAACTGTAAACTAGGAACTTCCTTCAGTTATGAAACACCATTCAGGACTGCTGCTTCTTGAGTGCTTTCTTCTTTTAAGTTCTTAGTCTTTTCTTCTCCTGGAGTACGCGGTAGTTTAGGAATTTCATCGCCAGAAGCGCTAGTTGGACCATTTATTGCCTTTTCTGAAGGACCATGCTCTTCAATCACATCTTTTGCCTGTCAAAGGGAGACAACTTTTTCAACATCTTTATAAAGAAATCTGTAGCTGAGGAAGAAAATAACTACATAAACATTACTTTTTTTAAAAAAAAAGATAACTTTCATATGCCATACAGAAAGCATTTTAAATTTAAAACAAATACCAATGCATTCCAGTCTCGGGGTTTTTAAACTACAACATCTCTAGTACCTATGAGTGCCCATATCACAAAAAGCACCTGCACTATTGAATGAAACCTGTACTAGTATTGTTAAACCAGTGGAGAGTGCACCATATAAATGGTGTAAGCAGTCAATACAGTAGGGTAAAACAACAATCACCCATTTTACTCACCTTTCTGAAACTCCTATTTATGTATTAATCACTGAAAACATTGAAAAGAATTGTAACTTAAAGGGTCTATTCCCACTACTGACAAGAGGTATACAGCAAATCAAGTAAATGCTGACGTGCTATCTATCTGGCAAGTGTCTCACGCTCAAGCATGCATCAGGGGCCTGGGATAAACCAAGGATCTTCTTTAAATATCTTTTAGGGGAAACAAGTGACCATACAGTAATAAATAAAAAATAAATAAATCTAAACAATACGGAAATAATAATTAAAAAAAAAAAAAAACCTACATGTTAAATTCTCCTTACCATTTCTTTCTTGTTTTTAGCCAAAGTTTCCCTTGGGAGGTTTCTTTGTCTGCTCTGAGACTCAGCTCTAGAAATATAATCTGCAACTGTGACTGTTAAAGATGAGAAAAAAATTACAGGTGTTGAAAAATATTTCTAAATTTTATTATGGATAAAGAGTAATTTCACTATTAAAGTAAACTAAAGGTGGGTCACCCAATTTCAAAAATTTACGCTGGGTATCCACCTCTGAACAAAAACATAGCTTGGAAAAATGTGCCTATGATTTTAAAAGTTAGCTGGAACTTGAGGAAATCTAGATTGAAGTCCTTTTCCCCAAGAATCCAGGTATCTCTTGGTTGAGTCTAAGACTGTGGGACGAATTTGGTGTAGCAACCCACCACAAGTACTGCAGGGCAGTGTCCTAAGTCCAGGGTGGTGTCAGCAACCATTAATGTATGTGTTGGGGGGGGGGCAGCAATGTTGGCACAAATCATGATGGGATGGTTAAAAATTTTAATGTTTTATGTTTTTTGGTTGTTCCTCTGGCCCAAGAAAAACAGCACAATTAAGGTGTTGAAGTGTGGTGTTTTGTGGTTCCTTCCTACCATTTCATGCTAGACAGCATTTAATCTATCTGATGTTCAGATTTTAAGAAGCATAGGCAAACTAAGAAAAAAAAAACAACACAATCCTAATGTGGTTAGACACTTGTCAAGGGTGGGAAAAGAACAGAGTAAATAAATATAGAGATGCTGTCTCATCAATGTTGCTCTCTTGCTAGGTCTTAAACATAAGATAATCACATTAAGTAACGAATTAGGAAACAGAGTAAACTATCATGCTAATAAATGACCTCTGTTTATTAGTATCATGCACTGGCCTCAGGACTTGAAACTCAAAATACTTAATTTTACATAATTATTTTCTATCACAGACTAGTTTTAAGAAAAACCCCAATTTGTAAAAATTAAAAACAAGTCAATTTTACATTATTTAAAGCCACCACGTCTGGGGAGAAGACCATTATAAATCTAATTAGTCCATTAACTTAAATCACTTACTAAAAGGCTGAATTGTATTTTACAATTCATTCATCTTAATAATGCATGTGCTAACATTAAGATGGAAGAACTCTCTAGTAATTCATTACCTTATAAGCATCTTGAATCAAGACTTATTAGAAAACTACAGACATTTCAAATCTAAAACTGCTTTCCTTCCAAATTATAAGGAATTCAGTATGCTCATTCTGAAGCCTTTAAATGGCTCCTCATTTTAAAATCACTTTTAAGAAATTTATAAACATGTTTCGTAATACTCTGGGAGAGGAGTATAATCTACTCATTTTGTGTACTCTACAGGGCAACAGAACTGTCTTGAGAATGACTGTAATCATGGGTAGGGGACACGCCAATGAGTATTTTGTTTTCACAGTGCAGACCTCAGTGACACCTGGAGGAATGCATCTACTTCAAGACGTTGCTGCAGACATTGTCCAATGGAAATGTGTGCCAACAGTTCTTAGACCCTTTCACCTACTCCTACATAGAATGAAAACTTTGATGTAGCTGTGATTCCAAAGCTAAGCAGCACTTAGTTCTGTTCCTTGCCACAAACAAAAGGAGCCAGTTAAGTAACTTGTTTTATAGTTCTTATGGAATACAGCCCCTTAAATTTTAATAGAAATTGAAATTTCAAGGAAAAACTATAGACAATTTTGTGGCATAATCAGCACCCTGGAATTCAATTGACACCACTGTAGTGTTTAAGCACAGGGAAGACCACTCAACGGATAATTTATATACAACTAAGAGCAGCTAGAAATTCTATGAAAAGGAAAAACTACTATCAACTTTGTGTGGGGGCTGTCTCCCTTGCTGGGGCACGAAGAAACTGTGAGGGACTGGAAATAAAGGAATTTGATAAGAGGAAACACAATGGTTCCAAAGAAGAGTGAAGACAGGATCAGATATAGTATGCAATAGCACATTACTGTCAAATGATCAAAACTCCAAATTAGCCATTTCAGTGAATTCCATTCAAATTCATCTAACTTAGAAGAAATCCTGTTCTGATATTTTTATGTCTGTATACTTAACTATGATCACTGGAGCTTAAATTACGTTGAAATGTAGTCCAGGTTAATAAGCCCATACTGATAGCCTGGATTTTATTTACAAAGTAGGGCTAGAAAATATTCACTGCTGTGCCACCTTCAAAACTGAAATTCATAACCTCTTCAACTAAAACACAGTTCTAACATTAAGGGAAAGAAGAAATATAAAAGGAAAACAAATTCTTCCATAGTGTTTGATTCTTTTTTACATGTCCATCTATCTTTAAAACATGAACTCTTCAGAACGGGAATTAATGCCCTTACCTAGCCTTCCCAAATGTCTCTGTAACCTCTATACTCAAAATAAAGATTTACAGTTTACATTATTTGGGGGGAAACACATGAAAATACATGTTTTGGAAAGAATGCAAAAATTGATTGGTTTGAAAGGGGTTTATTTCTACTGCACACAATTTCTTCATGGTGAATATACAGTGATTCTCTGTACAATAAGAAATGGATTGTGTTCAAAATATAGACATAGCAAACATGTTTCTTTCCAGTTACCAAAACTTGTGACAACATAAAATATTGAATGAAACTAAGTAAATACTATTTGAATGATTAGTATGTGTAAAGGAAAACGCACCACACTACAATAACACAAAAACATTAACATGCATCCTCTTTTAAGGAAAAAGACACTTCTACATTTTGTTTTTAAATTTTGAGTATTTTAATTCCCACCAAAATGAGGCGCCCAATCTAGATATCGTAAAAGCAGGCACCATGCAAAAACTGCCTAGTTTTGCCAATCAACCTTAAACACAACTCACACCACAGCCCCTGCAATGGCAGTCCCCACCTTAAGTTTGAGGAATACTGCCAAATGAATAAAGTCTTGGAAGTATTTCCATGTAAGAAATTAAGACACAACATTAGTTCACTTAAGACTGGATACTAAACATTGATACTGTGAAGGAAGAATGCATTGTCTTAGCAGTGTCATTAGTTGAATAGCTTATGCAATGCAAATTCTGAATGTATATACACACATGTGAACATGTAACTATATTTAGAATGCAGACACATGACATTTTTTTCATGCTTGTGACCTGACACCAACAGGCCCACTCAAGTTACCTGGCTGTCTATCTTCTGCCTGACCCCTGAAACGACGCCTGCGGCTACGATTGCGTCGCTGGGGTTTTTTTTCACTATCATCTGTAATTGCAAAGTTTACCATCAACTATTCTGGCAAAAAATAACAAAACAAAAAAGAACAAACAAAAAACTTCTTTCCTTATTTAAGAAAAGGAAAGAAAAACTTTTAATTAAACGTCGAAGGTAAAGCATACAAAATCAACAAAGTATTATATACACTTTTGTAGCATAAAGCATTCCTCTCTGGAAATTAAGAGGGCTTTAACTCATAATAAAGCAAACTGTCATATGTAACTGAAACTATCACCATCATTCAGAAAAGGAGATTTCTCTCCAACATATTTTGAGTTTCAAAGTTAATGACATTTTAGCCCCTTAATAATAAATGCTCACACTATGCATCTCCCCAAATGTACCATAATTATTAAAAGGGGGTGCTAGTTTTGTTTGTGGACAGTAAGATCAACTGAGTATTTGTACTGATTTAACAGTATAAAAGGGCACTTTAATTAATCCTCCCAGTTTCTGATAGTTTGACAAACAGGAAAACTAGACACCCAAGACAAGCAAGTTATCTCCCTCATTTAAAGTAAAGACTGAAAAATCACTTGTGAATTGCATACTTAAAAACAAAAAGGCTCATCTATTACCAGTATAATACAATCACACACACACACACCTTCTCCCTCAATGCTTACATACCTAGCCCATTCTCATTAACTGAGGCTGTATCAGATTCAGTCATTCCATCCATCAGAACAGCATCTTCATCAGTCCTTCGTCTACGAGACCGCCTACGACGGTTAGTACTGTGATGAGATTCGCTGGCGTCAGTGTCTGCAGTCTGATCTGATTCTGTATTATCAAGTAAGCTGTATGGATTGCTGTCTGGATCTTTGAGCACTATATTCATGTCAGAGGCAAGAAACAGTCATTTAAGAGGACTGCACTTAAAATGCTTGATCTACTGAACTACATCAACTAATTGTAAATAAACTCTAATACCCCCCAATAAAAATATAGGCCTGAAATAAAAAAGTTTTCTTGTTATCACTAATTTATCTGAAAATTAAGATGATTAAATAAAATTTTAATGGGAATGAAAAATTGTAAATAAAGCAAAAGGTTATTTCTTAGCTTTGTAATGATTCCTTTGAATTGTTTTACAAATAGTCAGCCCTCTACATCCTCACATAAAACTATAGAAGGGGATGTATCTGTATTAAACACATACTTTTATTCCTACATAATTTTTTCTTACTACTGTCCCTCAAATAAATGCAAACTACTTACATGGCATTTTCGCAGACACAGGTAATCTAGAGATGATATAGAACAGTGTGCACAGACGATGTGTTAATATTGTATCACCTTTCATTAAGGATTTAAAAGAAAATCTGTGGGGGTTACTGAGACCAATCCCCCATAGATACTGAAGGATAACTATATCAGAAAATACTGTACTATCTAATTCTGACATTCACACTCTTAAGATAATCCTACCCAGAGGGTAGAAAAATAAAAATAAAAATGAAGAATAATATTCAGCTACTATGTAGTGAATCTAAGAGAGCCTTTTGTTTCTCTTTACAACTTTAAGGTGACTGCTGCTACCCAACTATTTCCAAATAAAATTCAGCATCTGCACCCAAGACCTAAGAAAAATCAGCTAAGTATAAACTGAAACAACCAAAACAAGTCCACAGAGGTGTCATAAACTAAACCAGGCTGAACTAGTAACTGGTTATGAAAAAAACAATGAAACAGATGTTAACTTGCATTCTAACTCTTAAAAACAAAGCATCGAGTGAAGTTAAAAAGAATGGTTTCAAGATACAAACGAAAAGAAAAACACCTGTCTTCCTATGTGCATCTACTTCCAACACTCAAATTACAGAAGAAATTCACCTAATCACTATTACTCCTAAGTTTCCTTTGGTAACAGCTAGAATCTTTGCTGAAGATACTAAGTTTATCTATTAATTATAAAAGCTACGTAAAATACATTTATTTTGAAGTTCCACAAAATATAACTGTATAATAGTAACAGCATGTAGTGTACATTTTAATACAAAAATTACTTCCCTGAAAAGACTAAGCTAAACTTTCCTAAATAAAACTAAACTTAGGACCCAATGAAAATTGGGAAACAATTGGAGCTAAATACACTTCCCTTCATTTTATGCTGATTTGTTTCATTGTTTGTAATGTTAAGGTATTTGGGTTTTTCTGGGGTGAGGTGGGGGTGGAGGTTCGAGACAAAGTTTCTCTTTGTAGCCCTGGCTGTCCTGGAACTTGCTCTGTAAACCAGGTTGGTCTTGAATTCACAGAGATCCACCTGCCTCTTCCTCCTGAGTGCTGTGATTAAAGGTGTGCACCACAAAGGCCTGGCTTTAATATGCAAAGACTAACATTCTAAAGGATTTAAATATTTTTAAAATATTTAAAATGAGATATTTAATCATTATAAAGTATGACCTTCTTAAAGGACATGTAAATAATAACACTCATTTGCTCAGAAAGAGCATTCTAGAAACAATACCACTCCATGGTGTAAAAAAAAAAGCCAATGACCACAGCCAACACATGCTTGCGTGTATGACTTCTTCATCTCTACACTGTATTTATGAACATGTGGTGTGCCCACAGAAGCCACAAGAGGGCATCAGATCCCGATGAGCTGGAGTTGCAGGGCTGCGAGTAGCCCACCGTGGGTGCTAGGAGCCTAGCTCCCTAATTCTACAATAGCAATAACTGTTCCTAATTGCTGAGCCACCTTTCCAGCCCCTCTATATTCCTCTTTACAGTTCAATTTCTCAATAAAACAGAATTGAATTTACATTTTCTGTCCTCAAACTGTAGCGAAGAATTCTTGGGAAACAAGAAAGTATTACCTAATTACCAAAGAACCCAAATGGAAAGGGATAAATATGATTCTCAAAGCAGAGGACAACAACCAACTGGAAGTTCTAACCTATATATTCCTATGTAAACCTTCACTCAGAATTGCTCTACACAACTTTGTCTCTATTAACTGCTACACAGTCTACTATTTTCTCTAAGACAGTAAGCAGAACTCCAAAAAATGTGTGGCTCTGAGGAAGGAAGTAATTCTTGTAGGGTTATACTGTTTACAAAGCATGAACACTGACATAGTATGTAAAAGACTACCAGAACTGATGGAGGATTTGCCACCACGTGGTCCACCACGACCTCGACCCCCAGAAACACTTCTGCCTCTTCCTCCTGGGCGTCTCCTGCTGTCCCGCTGATGGCGACTCTCTCGCTCATCTTCTCCTGCCAATGACCAATCACTCAGCTCATCCTTACGCTCAGACTCTGTTTCGGAGGGGTTAGACAGCTCAGAATTTGTACCTTGGGGGGAAAAGAGACAGTTTGTAAAATAATTAGGTCACATATATAGATGCTTACAATTTTTCAAAACATTGTCTGCTGAGCATCATTTAAAGTAAGTATAGTAATTGCTCAGAAGAGAGCAAAATTAAAAACTTTAAATTTAATATGCAATTATCAGATTCAACTAACAATTAGAGGAAGCGTACACTATGAAAATGCAATTAATGTCAAGGTTTCTGCTCATTTTAAATTGATAGCTTAAATCATCAGTACACCAAATGTTATCTAATACCTAAAGATAAATTTAATCACATTCAGAAAAATTTAAGTTTTAATCAACAGTGTTTCTATTAATACTGACTCCAGTGTGTATTTTTTCTCTCTCACATTTTAACATCTTTAAAATCAGAACAGTTCTTATAACTGCTAGTCTTTCTTAATAGCTGGGAGTTTACTTGTCAGTTAATATACATAAAATGTTTTATTTACTGCTACCGCAGATTAGTATAACATTAATGTTTCTGAGAAAACAGCTACTACCTAACAACTAATAGAATAGAGACAGGACCAATGAAATAAAGTCCACATGACTATCTCGTTCAGAAATTGATTTTTAAATTTATACAATTTAACTGAAAACACTGCATTTCACTGAAAGTACTGTTTGTCTACCATGCCATGTGTATTTTTTCTCTATAGATCTACAATTGGTATATATGTCAAAAGGCAAAACTTAATCTCAGTGTCCCAAATGTGTCATAATGTGCAAAAATTTCCCCTTGATACATGAATTTGTTGCATGAAATACCTAAAAGTTGACTGTATTTAAACTCCACGAGTATTTACAAATAGTCGTAAAACACTAGTACTCCTTAGATAGTAAACAAGTAATGAGGTGCAGGAATAAAGGAAGAACTCTACAAATACAAATTACAGAGGAAAAGATAACAAAAGTTTAGGAAAAAAAATCCAGTTTATTTTTCACTCTCGGGTATTTGTTTGGAATGAAAACCTCATATAAAGAATAAAGTACCCATTAACAATTAGTTGTCCAAATGCCAAAAACATTAACTGTATCCTCTAACTGTCGAAAT